CATTTTGGACAGCAGTGGTGGGAGTGACGGAGCTTCTGGGATGGCTCAGTGGTAAAGAATCTGCCTGCAGTGCAGGAGATGGAGGAGACGAGGCTTCAGCCCCTGGGTCAGGAAGATCTCCTGGAGGAGGGCATGGCAACCCACTCCTGAAGTATTCTTGCCTGAAGAATCCCATGGACTGAGGACCCTGGCGGGTTACAGTCCATAGGGTTGCCAAGAGTGGGACCGGACTGAAGTGACTGAGCGTGTGCGTGCACGCACCGCCCCCCCTCCCCCCCCACACACAACACAGTGGGAGTAACATCTTTATCTCATTCCTACTTTTAGGGAGGAAGCATTTAATATTTTAGCAGTAAGTATATTAGCTGCAGGATTTTCTTAGTATCTTTTATTAGATTTAGGATGTTTCCATCTAGTCCTTATTTCTGAGATTTTTAAAAACAATGTGTAGTGAATTTTATCAAATTTTTTTTGATATCTGTTGAGATAACCATATTTTCCCCCATTTATTAAGTTAATAAATTATTATATGGACTAATATGATTTATGTTAGTTGGTTTTTAAATGTTAAACCAATTTCGTATTCCTGTGATAAACCCAGTTTGATCATGAGGTTTTTTTTTTTTTATATTGCTGGATTCAGTTGCTTAATATTTGAATAATTTTTGCATTTATGTTTATTATGGATATTGGTCTGTAATTTTCTTTTCTTGCAATGTGTTTGTCTGGTTTTGGTTTGTCTGGATTGCACAGGATTCAAAACAAAGTAGGAAGTGTTTCCTCTCTCTTGTCTAAAAACATTGTGTATTTAAGTTATTTTATAATTAAACATTTTATGAGATTTACTAATTTCATATTAGTAATGTGAAATCTTAGACCTGGAGTTTTCTTTAAGATTTTTTTTGGATACTGAATTCAATCACTTTAAAATGTTTCATTTATTTATTTATGTCTGCTCTCGGTCTTCATTGCTTTCTCAGACTTCCTGTAGTTGCAGAGAGTGGGGGCTATTTTCTAGTTTCAGTGCATGGCCTTCGCGTTGCAGTGGCTTCTCTTGTTGTCGAGCACAGTCTCTAGGATGTATAGGCTTCAGTATTTGCAGCACATGGGCTCAGGAGTGTTGGATCACAGGCTAAGTAGCTGTGATGCACAGGCTTCGTTCCCCCATAGCATGTGGGATCTTCCCAGACTAGGGATTGAACCAGCGTCCCCTACATTGCAAGATGGATTCTTAACCACTGAACCACCAGGGAAGCCCTGAGTTCAGTTTCTTTAATAGATATGTGACCATTCAGATTTTCTGTTTCTTGCTGTGTCAGTTTTGGTAAATTGTATTTTTCAAAGAATTTATCCATGTTATCAAATAGATTGGCATAAAATACTTCTCCATATTCCTTTTTTATTTTTTTAGTATTTGTGGGACATGAGTGATATCTCTCTGCATCTTAATGAGGACCTTTTGTATTCTATTTTATTCTAACTTAGCATAACTTGAGGCATATTGATTTTGTTGATCTTTTCAAAGAGTCAACTTTTAACTTTGTTAATTTTCTCTATTGTTTGGTACTTCATTGATTTCTGCAATTATTTTGCAGTCATTTCTGCAGTTGGATGTACTATTATATATAAATACCAATTAGCAGATCAAGATAAATGATAATATTCAGATTTTCTATGTTTTTAATATTAATAGGTGAATGCATGCATGCTCAGTCACTTCAGTTGTATCTGACTCTTCATGAATGTATGGACTGTAGCCTGCCAGGCTCCTCTGTCCACGGGATTATTCAGGCAAGAATACTGGAGTGGGTTGCCATGCCCTCCTCCAGGAGATCTTCCCAGCCCAGGGATGAAACCTGAACCCATGTTTCCTGTGGCCCCTGCATTGCAGATAGATTCTTTGCCGCTGAGCCGCCAGAGAAGCCTTAATGGGTGAGGGTGGGAAATTCAAATCTCCTGCTGTGATTGTGGGTTTGTCTCTTTCCCCATTTAATTTTGTCAGTTTTGTCTTTATGTATTTTGAAGCTCTGTTATTAGGTCATAATCTTTATGATCACTTTGTCTTCCTGACCCGCTTATCATTATTAAATGTTTTTATATTTCTGGTAATACTATTCGAAAACTACTTTATCTGATATTTTGATAACTACTTCAGTACTCTTATGCTTAATGTTTGAATGGTTTGTCTTTTCCTAAGCCTTTATTTCAAGCTATCTGTGTCTTTATATTTAAAATATGTCTCATAGATAAATCTTTTATCTATTCTGGCAATCTCTGATATTTAATTGGACCATTTAGTTCATTTCCATTTGGTATAATTTCTGTTATGTTTCAATTTGGGTATATTGTTTTGTTATTTGTTTTCTGTTTGAACAGACTGCTTTCCCTTTTGATTGTTGTTCTTTCCTGCATTATTTTGGGTTGACAGGGTATTTTTTAAAATTCCATTTTAATTCTTCTTTTGATTGTTAACTGTACTTTACATTATTTTTTGATGTTTGCTCTAGTAATAAAGATACACAGTTCTGATGTTTCATAATGTGCTTAAAGCTAATAATGTATGACTTCATATAAAATATAAGTATCTTGTAATGAAATAGGTTGTCCTATTTTTATTTATTTTTATTTTAAGGAAACTAAGAGGAAAGCTAAGTGTGATACCTAAGATAGTACTTAATACCTATGTAGTATCTAAATTTTGAAGGTTAAACCAGCATTACATATTCAGAATCAACCCAAGATGGTTTTGGTATATATTTCTTTTTTACATTTCTGTGTTGCATTTACTAATATTTAAGAGGTTTGCTCCTATGTGAGCGTGAGAAGTTGGCCTGTAAATTTATGAAACAGTATTTTTGCTAGAATTTATCAAGATTGTGTTGTACTCATAAAATGAGTTGAGAACATTTTTCCCTTTCTCTAAAATATGGAGGAGTTTGTTTAAGATTGGCATTCTGTCTCTCTGAAGCCTTGGTAGGCTTTATCCCTAGTTTTCTTGTGGAAGGTCTGTAATTACGTATTTAGATTTCTTTAATAGTCATTTGAGTGTAAAATTTCTGTTTCTTGTTTCATTGTTGGTAAGTTCTGGTTTTCCATTTCACCTAAAATTTCACAGGTATTGGCATAACATTGCTTGTTGTATACTATACATATTTTTGTGTGTGTTTGCCTGTTCTCTTAGTTTCTCTTTTTCCTTTTATCAATTTTCTAGAGAGTTATCACTTTAAAAAATCTTTTCATAATATGACCATTTGACTTTGTCAGTCCTTTTTATTTTATGCTTTTTCATGTTTTATAATTCTATCTTTGTGTATTTAAGTTTTCTTAAAATTTAAATAAAATTTTAATTAAAATAAATTCTGTTATTTTTATACAATTTTCAGATCTATGGTTAGGTATTTTATTAACAGCTCCTCTTATGTCCTAATGTGTGTCCATATGCATTTAAGTTCATAAGGCATGGATTTAAGTGTATTTCATAAGTTTAATATGTGATTATTACACACTGTTATTCATCTTAAATATTTTCTAATCTCCATTGTGAATTCTAGTTTAAAATATATTCCTAAAAAAAAAAAAAATAAAAAAATAAAATATATTCCTTACTTTCCAAATATTTGGGGATTTTCTGTTTATATTTTTTAATTTCTTATACTGTGACCAAAGAATATATTCTGTATGATTTTTGTTTATTGGACAGATTAAGATTTGTTCTATGACTTTCCATGTCAATTTCAGTAAATATTTTATGTGTACTTTAAGTATAAAGTATGTTTTGCTGTATTTTACCATCGTCTGTCAAATGTATATTAGGTCAAGTTTGTTTATCATTTTACTAATACATTCTATATCTTTACTGATTATTTTCTCTTATTAAGTTATTTCAGAATCTACCACTGTGCTTATGAATTTGTTTACTTATTTTGTTTCAGTAGATTTTTTCTTTAATAATTTACACTTCTTATAACTTGCAAATGAAATAATTTTTGTCAATATCATGTCCCTCTGTAATTTAGTAATGCTTTTTGCCTCAGTCTTATCTGATATTAATATAAGTATATTAACTTTCTTTGGTTTTTGTTTGCATGGTCTCTCTTTTTTCATTTTATCACTTACAGTTTTCTCTATGTCTTAGGTTTCTTGTGTGTAAAGCACACATGTTTTATGTTTTTGAAAATCTTGTCTTTTAATTAAACTATTTAGTCTACTTCCATGTAATTCACTTTCTAATATATTTAGGTTTATTTAATTTAAGATTTTTATTTGATATTAGAGTACAGTTGATTTACAGTGTGTTTCAGGTGTACAGAAAAGTGGTTCAATTATACATATACACATATCCATCTAAATATATTTAGATTTAAACCTACTGTTTTACTATATGCTTTTTATTTATTGCCTGTCATCTATTCATTTTCCTCCTGTGTTTGTATAGATCGTTCATATTATTCTATTATTCTTCCCATAATAAGTAGTTACACACTGTTGTATTTTTCTCTAGTGATTACCTTAGATATTGTAATATGCATCCTTGAGTTACCTATATTTATTGGATACAAAAAAATAGACAAACTTATTAACCCATATATTATTCCTTTAAGGAGTTTATTTTCTACCAGGAAAAAGGAATGTACATAGTTTATTGTAATAGCCAATAATGAAGAGATAGATTCCATGAATAGAAATACATAAGAAAATAATATCTCAGCTAATGAGACTGAGAAAGAATTCGTAGAGTGCACAACATTGTAAGTCAACTGTACTTCAATAAAATATATCTATGTAAAAAATTATCATGGAAGAGATGGCAATGTGAGGATTTTTGTTTTCTGCATTCAGTGGTAACTTTTATATTATATATTTGTTTGTTAATGAAAATAAAGAAGACCAATTTGTACACACTCATATTCTCACTAATTGAGTAGCTATTCATGTGAGTCATAAAATTTTGTTCATCACAATACACAGTGATTAAAACTGTTGGATTTTTTCCTCCCTAGGTTATTTCATTTTTAGCTGCAGTTTTGGGTAAAAAGGGAACTCGTGAAGATATTGAAAATAACATGCCAGAGTTTTTACTGAGAAATATGAAAAAGGATCCACCTTCTACAGCAAAAAAGGTAAGATATCTAGAAATGTAAACTTCATGAAGCTGGTACTGCAAAGGTGTATGTAAACTTAGAAACATTACACATTATACTATAAATTTAAAACAAGAATTTATAGACACTAAATGTTTGTTTTATAAACCTAATTTCTGAAGGATTATCCGTTTCATCCTCGAATTAGATTTGATTTACTCTCAAAATAGTAAAATATAGTTTATTTGAATTTTGGGGAGGCTTTCAATCTTTTGCTTGTCAAAATTTTCAGTTAATTTGATTCATTTGTTAAATTTCCATGAATGTGTATGTAAAGTTAATTGAAGTCCATTGTATTGTTTTTTATTTATTTGATAATGAAAAACAGACAGTTGTACATATTTCTAACAAAGGTATGTCCTGATGAAGTTGTTTAGCAAGATAACCACCTCCTGAAAATATGAAACAAATCCTCCCTGAACAAGGACCATTGAAGTTGGAGTCAGAAAAGCTAAGATCTGGGCTTGTCTGTCTGTGACCATGTGACTGTTAATGCTATTCATAACCATTCTTAAGCTTTCTCCTTTGTAAATATACATTTATGAATATCTTATGCATAATTCTTATAAAAAATGAGAGATTTCTTCTTTTTTTTTTTGCAATTCTCTAGCAGGAACTTTTTTTTTTTTTTTCATTTATTTTTATTAGTTGGAGGCCAACCATTTCACAGCATTGCAGTGGGTTTTGTCATACATTGACATGAATCAGCCATGGAGTTACATGTATTCCCCATCCCGATCCCCCCTCCCACCTCCCTCTCCACCCGATTCTTCAGGGTCTTCCCAGTGCACCAGGCCAGGCCTGGGCACTTGTCTCATGCATCCCACCTGGGCTGGTGATCTGTTTCACTATAGATAATGTTCATGCTGTTCTCGCTAAACATCCCACCCTCACCTTCTCCCACAGAGTCCAAAAGTCTGTTCTGTACATCTGTGTCTCTTTTTCTGTTTTGCATATAGGGTTATCGTTACCATCTTTCTAAATTCCATATATATGTGTTAGTATACTGTAATGGTCTTTATCTTTCTGGCTTACTTCACTCTGTATAATGGGCTCCAGTTTCATCCATCTCATTAGAACTAATTCAAATGAATTTTTTTAACGGCTGAGTAATAGTCCATGGTGTATATGTACAACAGCTTCCTTATCCATTCGTCTGCTGATGGGCATCTAGGTTGCTTCCATGTCCTGGCTATTATAAACAGTGCTGCGATGAACATTGGGGTGCACGTGTCTCTTTCAGATCTGATTTCCTCAGTGTGTATGCCCAGAAGTGGTACTGCTGGGTCATATGGCAGTTCTATTTCCAGTTTTTTAAGAAATCTCCACACTGTTCTGCATAGTGGTTGTACTAGTTTGCTTTCCCACCAACAGTATAAGAGGGTTCCCTTTTCTCCACACCCTCTCCAGCATTTATTGCTTGTAGACTTTTGGATAGCAGCCATCCTGACTGGCGTGTAATGGTACCTCATTGTGGTTTTGATTTGCATTTCTCTGATAATGAGTGATGTTGAGCATCTTTTCATGTGTTTGTTAGCCATCTGTATTTCTTCTTTGGAGAAATGTCTGTTTAGTTCTTTGGCCCATTGTTTGATTGGGTCATTTATTTTTCTGGAGTTGAGCTGCAGGAGTTGCTTGTATATTTTTGAGATTAATCCTTTGTCTGTTGCTTCATTTGCTATTATTTTCTCCCAATCTGAGGGCTGTCTTTTCACCTTGCTTATAGTTTCCTTTGTTGTGCAAAAGCTTTTAAGTTTGATTAGGTCCCATTTGTTTATTTTTGCTTTTATTTCCAATATTCTGGGAGGTGGGTCATAGAGGATCCTGCTGTGATTTATGTCGGAGAGTGTTTTGCCTATGTTCTCCTCTAGGAGTTTTATAGTTTCTGGTCTTACATTTAGATCTTTAATCCATTTTGAGTTTATTTTTGTGTATGGTGTTAGAAAGTGTTCTAGTTTCATTCTTTTACAGGTGGTTGACCAGTTTTCCCAGCACCACTTGTTAAAGAGGTTGTCTTTTTTCCATTGTATATCCTTGCCTCCTTTGTCAAAGATAAGGTGTCCATAGGTTCGTGGGTTGATCTCTGGGCTTTCTATTCTGTTCCATTGATCTATATTTCTGTCTTTCTGCCAGTACCATACTGTCTTGATGACTGTGGCTTTGTAGTAGAGCCTGAAGTCAGGCAGGTTGATTCCTCCAGTTCCATTCTTCTTTCTCAAGATTACTTTGGCTATTCGAGGTTTTTTGTATTTCCATACAAATTGTGAAATTATTTGTTCCAGTTCTGTGAAGAATATTGTTGGTAGCTTGATACGATTGCATTGAATCTATAGATTGCTTTGGGTCGTATAGCCATTTTGACAATATTGATTCTTCCAATCCATGCACACGGTATATTTCTCCATCTGTTTGTGTCCTCTTTGATTTCTTTCATCAGTGTTTTATAGTTTTCTATGTATAGGTCTTTTGTTTCTTTAGGTAGATGTACTCCTAAGTATTTTATCCTTTTTGTTGCAATGGTGAATGGTATTGTTTCCTTAATTTCTCTTTCTGTTTTCTCATTGTTAGTGTATAGGAATGCAAGAGATTTCTGTGTGTTAATTTTATATCCTGCCACTTTACTATATTCATTGATTAGCTCTAGTAATTTTCTGATAGAGTCTTTAGGGTTTTCTATGTAGAGGATCATGTCATCTGCAAACAGCAAGAGTTTCACTTCTTCTTTTCCTATCTGGATTCCTTTTACTTCTTTTTCTGCTCTGATTGCTGTGGCTAAAACTTCCAACACTATGTTGAATAGTAGTGGTGAGAGTGGGCACCCTTGTCTTGTTCCTGATTTTAGGAGAAATGCTTTCAATTTTTCACCATTGAGGGTGATGCTTGCTGTGGGTTTGTCATATATAGCTTTTATTGTGTTGAGGTATGTTCCTTCTATTCCTGCTTTCTGGAGAGTTTTAATCATAAATGGGTGTTAAATGTTGTCACAGGCTTTCTCTGCATCTATTGAGATAATCATATGGTTTTTATCTTTCAATTTGTTAATGTGGTGCATTACATTGATTGATTTGCAGATATTAAAGAATCCTTGCATTCCTGGGATAAAGCCCCCTTGGTCATGGTGTATGCTTTTTTTAAATATGTTGTTGGATTCTGTTTGCTAGAATTTTGTTAAGGATTTTTGCATCTATGTTCATCAGTGATATTGGCCTGTAGTTTTCTTTTTTTGTGGCATCTTTGTCTGGTTTTGGAATTAGAGTGATGGTGGCCTCATAGAATGAGTTTGGGAGTTTACCTTCTTCTGCAATTTTCTGAGTAAGATAGGTGTTAGCTCTTCTCTAAATTTTTGGTAGAATTCAGCTGTGAAGCCATCTGGTCCTGGGCTTTTGTTTGCTGGAAGATTTCTAATTACAGTTTCGATTTCCTTGCTTGTGATGGCTCTGTTAAGATCTTCTATTTCTTCCTGGTTCAGTTTTGGAAAGTTATACTTTTCTAAGAATTTGTCCATTTCTTCCAAGTTGTCCATTTTATTGGCATAGAGCTACTGGCAGTAGTCTCTTATGATCCTTTGTATTTCTGTGTTGTCGGTTGTGATCTCTCCATTTTCATTTCTAATTTTGTTAACTTGGTTCTTCTCTCTTTGTTTCTTAATGAGTCTTCTAATGGTTTGTCAATTTTGTTTATTTTTTCAAAAAACCAGCTTTTAGCTTTGTTGTTTTTTGCTATGGTCTCTTTAGTTTCTTTTGCATTTATTTCTGCCCTAATTTTTAAGATTTCTTTCCTTCTACTAACCCTGGGGTTCTTCATTTCTTCCTTCTCTAGTTGCTTTAGGTGTAGAGTTAGGTTATTTATTTGACTTTTTTCTTGTTTCTTGAGGTAAGCCTGTAATGCTATGAACCTTCCTCTTAGCACTGCTTTTGCAGTGTCCCATAGGTTTTGGGTTTTTGTGTTTTCATTTTCATTCATTTCTATGCATATTTTGACTTCTTTTTTGATTTCTTCTATGATTTGTTGGTTATTCAGAAGCATGTTGTTTAGCCTCCATATGTTTGAATTTTTAACAGTTTTTTTCCTGTAATTGAGATCTAATGTTACTGCACTGTGGTCAGAAAAGATGACTGGAATGATTTCAGTTTTTTTGAATTTTCCAAGACCAGATTTATGGCCCAGGATGTGATCTATTCTGGAGAAAGTTCCGTGTGCACTTGAGAAAAAGGTGAAGTTGATTGTTTTGGGGTGAAATGTCCTATAGATATCAATTAGGTCTAGCTGGTCCATTGTGTCATTTAAGGTTTGTGTTTCCTTGTTAATTTTCTGTTTAGTTTATCTATCCATAGTTGTGAGTGGGGTATTAAAGTCTCCCACTATTATTGTGTTACTATTAATTTCCTCTTTCATACTTGTAAGCATTTGCCATACATATTGCGGTGCTCCTATGTTGGACGCATATTTATAATTGTTATATCTTCTTCTTGGATTGATCCTTTGATCATTATGTAGTGTCCTTCTTTGTCTGTTTTCACATCCTTTATTTGAAAGTCTATTTTTCTGATATGAGTATTGTGACTCCTGTTTTCTTTTGGTCTCCGTTGCATGAAATATTTTTTTCCAGCCCTTCACTTTTAGTCTGTATGTGTCTCCTGTTTTGAGGTGGGTCTCTTGTAGACAGCATATATTGGGGTCTTGTTTTTGTATCCATTCAGCCAATCTTTGTCTTTTGGTTGGGGCATTCAACCCATTTACATTTAAGGTAATTATTCATAGGTGTGGTCCCGTTGCCATTTACTTTGTTGTTTTGGGTTCACGTTTATACAACCTTTCTGCATTTCCTGTCTAGAGAAGATCCTTTAGCATTTGTTGAAGAGCTGGTTTGGTGGTGCTGAATTCTCTCAGCTTTTGCTTGTCAAGCTTTTGAATTCTCCTTCATATCTGAATGAGATCCTTGCTGGGTAGAGTAATCTAGGTTGTAGGTTATTCTCTTT